GGTTGGCGCATCGTTCATGCGTACAACAAGCTGAACGATGCGACGATACCGGCGCAGACGCCGATACCTCGACAAGATGTTATCATCGATTCGATGGCCAGGAGCACTATCTACAGTGCTCTTGATCTGCGCGATGGGTTCTATCAGATCCTCATGCGTGAGAGCGATATCCCTCTCACGGCAGTGAGCACGCCGAGCGGCATGCTCTGGGAGTGGCTAGTGATGCCGCAGGGTCTGAAGAACGCCCCTGCGACCTTCAACAGGTGCGTGACGCACTTGTTGCGCTCGGTGCGCGACTTCGCACCGAGCTACTTCGACGATGTGTTCGTCCACAGCCGGGCTGCGGACGGGATGAGCGATGTTGAGATGCACAAGGTGCATCTCCGGAAGCTGCTTGCGCTCATGCGCAAGCACAAGCTCTATGCGAACCTGAAGAAGTGCATCTTCGGGGCGAGCGAGATACCCGTGGTCGGGTGTCTCGTTGGGAAGAACGGTGTCCGCCCTGACCCTGAGAAGGTCAGAGTGATCAATGAGTGGCCGACGCCGTCGAACGTCAAGGAACTGCGGCAGTTCCTTGGCTTGACCACGTACTTGTGCAAGTACGTGAAAGACTACGCGGGCATGATACGCCCGCTGTCACAGCTCCTGAAGAAGGACGTCGAGTGGATTTGGACTGCTGAGTGTCAGCAGGCCTTCGATGCAGTCAAGCAGGGCTTGACTGAGGCGCCGATCATGGCGGTGGCCGACCAAGATCGCCCATTCCACGTTGTGTGTGACGCATCCGACTTCGCAATCGGATATGCGTTGATGCAGCACGATCACGAGGGTCGTGATCGTGTCGTCTACTACCAATCGCGTCAGCTGAAGCCAGCTGAGCGCAACTACCCGGTACATGACAAGGAGCTCCTTGCCATGAAGTACGCACTCGCGAAGTTCCGAGTGTATCTACTCGGAAGCAAACCGTTCGTGGTCTATACGGACCACGCGTCGTTGCGGACGGCTGTGAAGTCGCCGCACATCTCGCAACGGATGGCGAGATGGCTCTCATTCTTCGCAGAGTATAACTTCCGGGTTGAGTACAAACCCGGAAGACTCAATGTGGTGGCCGACGCGCTCTCGCGTCGACCTGACTACGCCACGACTGATGCCGACGTCAATGCCATTGACGCCATGCGATCGAGCACCCCAATGTCGTCACTGTTGGACGACGTGAAGGTCGCGTACGCGCACGACGCGGACGCGAAGCTCTTGCTGGCCTACGGCTCAGCGCCTTCTGACCAAGCATCTTCGTGCTTGTGCACACCGTTACCGGGTGCACGACGGGTTATTACTCTACAGTGCAGTCGACGACAACGCGGACCGTGTTGTCGTGCCCAATGACCATGACCTGCGACTCAGGATCATGTATGAGTATCACGATGCACCGACTGCGGGGCATCCGGGCCGTGAGAAGACATACCTTCTTCTCACGCGAGACTTCTACTGGGCCCACCAGTATAAATGGGTGCGCAATTACGTCCGTGCTTGCGAGGTTTGTCAACGTGTGAAGCCTGCGCCTTTCGCGCAGGCTCCCTTGCAGTCACTACCAACTCCACGGGAGTGTTGGCAGTCCATGTCTTTGGACTTCGTGTTCGGTCTTCCCCCGGACAGCCATAGGAACACGGGCGTTGTGGTCTTTGTTGACCGCTTCAGCAAGATGGTACATCTTGCTGCAGTACCCGCTGAAGTGACTGCGAAACAGACGGCGCGTCTGTTCGTTGACATGGTGTTCAAACACCATGGCATACCGATCGACATTGTGTCGGATCGAGACCCGCGCTTCACTGCACACCTTTGGCAAGAAGTGTTTACACTTCTTGGGAGGCAACTTTCGATGTCGACTGCGGACCATCCGCAGACGGACGGGCAGACCGAGCGCGTGAACCGCGTGCTCGTAGACGTGCTTAAGAGCTACGCTCACTCGTTCCAACACTGGAGCGAGTGCCTGCCGATGGCGGAGTTCGCCATCAACAACTCGGTGCATGCCTCGACCGGGCATACACCGTTCTACGTGAATGCCATCAGGCACCCACGCCTCCCGAGTCTACTCGGGATGGTGGCTCCTTCCTTAAGTGGGGGAGGATCTACGACTCCAACACAGCAGCCGCAGAATGCCGCTAACGCTTGTACAGTGTCAGCCGCAACGACACGAAGCAAAGCCGAGAACCGCGCGTTTGTGCAGGGCACAGACGCCGACAAGAGCAAAAAGAAGAAGAAGAACGGGTCTGTGCAGGGCACAGGCACCGCGAAGACGAACGCAGAGGCCGGGCCTACTGCTAGAAACGAGCTGAACGAGTTCAGCTCGGACACAATCAACTTCGTGCAGCGCAGACAAGCCGTCATTCGGTTTGTCCAAGACGCTATCGCAGCTTCTGTCGACCGACAGAAGCTGAACGCAGACAATGTTGGTAGGGGCAACACTAATGAATTCAAGAAGGGCTCATTGGTTTTGTTAGCAACTCAAAACCTGCCTAAACATGCAGTTTCCGACTTCGGGGCGAGCAAGCTCGCTCCGCGCTTCATCGGGCCGTTCACGGTGTTGACACGGCATGGCAACGCCTACACGCTAGATATTCCATCTAGCATGCGCCTCCATCCGACCTTTTACGTCGGGCGGCTGAAGCCATACCAGCAGCACGAGCCACCTAGCTCGGCTGGCCCGAAGCGGAAGCCCCAGCGGGAGCGAACCTCTGCTCCAGCGCGTGAACGCGCTGGGCCAAGCGTGCGACGCGACCTCCCACGTCGACAGAGATGTCCGACGCGGTCTGCGAGGCCTGAGCAACTTGAGCTCTCAGGGTCGCCATCTCCTGCTTCAGAGCGGCGAACTCACGGCTCTGAAGCTGCTCCACAGCAGCGACCCGCTCCTCGAGCGTCGGGCCAAGGTCAACCCCAGGTTGACCATACCCGGGGCGTGTTCCCACCACCGCCGCCTCCGATCCGCGACGCCCGCGGCTCAACACGCTGGATTGTTGAGCGTATTGTGAACCATAGTATCCCGAAAACGAACCGGCAGCCGGTTCGTTATCGTATTCGTTGGAGAGGGTTTCCGCCCCACCAAGATACATGGGAGCCACGGGACGTCCTGCTGCAGGACGTTCCGGAAATGGTGAGGGAGTACGAAGCTCACAACGCACTGCCGACGCGAAGGTAGTGCGAGCGCTGTGGTCACTTACAGCGCCCGAGGCCCCACGATCGTCGCGTTCCTCACGTGCCAAGAACTTGGCACGGAGATCCTTGAGACTCTCAGGTACACGAATCGTCGTGTACCCGTTTAGGTCGCGGTCACTCAAGCGCACCGCACCCGGAAGCCACAACGTGCACTATTGGCCTTCGGGCACAGCGCATGGAATACCAGCGTCCACAGAAGATCTGTGGAGCTGCTCCAACCTCCCGCGCGTCGAGAATGTCTCGAAGCATTCACGGGCGTGCTTAACCCGCTCACGGTAAGCAGCCGGCTTCTTGTTGAAGTTCTCAACAAAAGCATTCCAACTTTGACAAAGTGCCTGCCACTCAGGCACTTTGCTGCGAGAAGAGGTCTTCTTGCTGGAGAAGTATCGGAGCTCGTGAAAGAGTCCGATATAGTAATCGCGCCTTTGATTCGTTAACGGATCAAAGTGCTGCTCCTCCGCCACAGCGTCATCGTGGATCCCGCTGTATACGTACAGCGGGATTTCGTTTGGAGGCACAGTGTTGCCCACACGGTCTGCGATCTCTGACGCAGACGGCATCCACGGATCGCGCGCTGCTCAGGCAGCGCGCGGAGAACTTGAAGACACCTCACGCGGGGAGCTTAAAGCCCCAGCAGCAGAGAGCGGAGTGTCGCTCTCGCCGCGCGAACGCTTCGAGCTCGAAGCGTCCGAGTCGTCTCCTTCACGAGGGCGTCTCGACCCGGCATGCGGGTCGAGACTATCACTGTCGATAGACTGCTTGCGCTTGCTAGAAGAGGCCTCGCCCTCTTCCATCTCCACGTCGTCGTCTTCGTAGTCAACGGCGTCGTTGACTACAGAGGAACCTTCGAGGACAATCTCCGACTGGGTTGTCCCCGACGCGGCCTTTGTAGCGAGAGCATCGCGCTTTGCCTGCTGGCGCTCATGGTACTGAGCAACAGAGAGGTTACCCTCTGTTGCGGCGGCGGTCTTCTTCTGCGGCAAGCTCATTGCGGAATGAGCTCGAGTTTTCTTTCTCCTAACGTAAAGAATTGACGAATGGTCAATTTCCTGATTGACGTGCCGTGACTCGGCGCGTCTAACCTTGAGGGGGGGATGGTGTAACAGGGTTACACGCACAAGTGGCTACAGTCACTTGTAACTCTAACAGACACGACGTCGGTTAGAGGTTCGAAAGACTTTCTCGACCTTGGTGTAGACACACCAAAGGCTACATACATTTACGACCACCACGACGGGTGGTCCATAGAGACTTAGGATTCCTATTGGCTGAGAGCAGCATCTCTTAGCCAATGAGCGACATGCATAGCATTGGAATTCTGCCAACCAGCCGTTGGCAGATTCCTATCTTAGAATATTACATTTAGAGGAAGTCAGAAACATAAAACAAAACTAGCAGTTCTCATTTTAACCCAAAAACATTATTTGGATCGTTTATTTAGATTAATCTATACTCGGAGGCCCGAGTATAATTAACCCTAATTTAAACTAAGCTACGCTTCCTCACATACACGCGCACACGTGTAAGCTAAACTAGTGAACCAAAGTAGGCCCATTACAGACTTGGTCTCATCTTCGGACGAGTCTGTTGTGGAAGTAAAGCCGGAGCCCGTGCGAGCGAAGGAGAAGGCGAAGACTCAGAGTTCCAAGGTGAATTCTGGGTTCGCACCACCTGAACCCAGCGTTTCAGCGCTAAGTTCGCAAGCGTCACCCAGGAAGACGCCTCAAAGCGACATCCGGGAAGCTGATGCGCCTGCTCAGGAACCGAGAGCAGCGGCGTTGGACACTGAGAACATGGTGCTGTACGTCCGACGTGAAGTTCGACGCTGGGAAGAGGTGAATCCTGGGAAGGTGACGCCCCCGAGTGTCGTCTATGAGTGGCCGACTCCGAAACCGGACGCCAACTCGTACTTTGCTGCCGCGTACGCAACAGGAGACTACTTCAAGTGGCGTTTGTCTCTGACGAACCAGGATGAAGCCTGGATCTCTGAGTTTCACCTCGCCCGGTGGGGTCGCGGAACTGCCCAGGATCTCATGGCGACTACGATTCCCCAGAATATCATGACCGCACGCGAGTGCGTCGCCATTCTGCAGACTCTGTTCTTCGAAGCTGGATTCGAGTTTGTCAACTTGATCCCTGGCTGGTCTTCGGCGCGTGCTTCCAGGATTCCAGAAAGTCTGGTGCGCTCTGTCATGGAGGAAACCCAGAATTTCATCGCCGTGGAACTGGTCGAATGGAGACTGGTGATCGCTGGTGTGCCTTTCAAGGTGAACTCTGAAGACCAACATGCACCAAGCATTCAAGATCAAGCGCCAAGACTGGACTACCACAAGGAAGATGGAGACGGTGATCTATTGATGACGGACTACGATGCGGATCTACGGGGCCGACAGTTTGTCCTGACATTCAGGGTCACGGGACTCAGGATTTCACGGATCCCACGAGGGTCGAGTGATGGTGAGCCGCGATCCAAGCGCACACAGCATGGACCGCCTCGCCCGCAAGTCCCGTCGACGCCATCAGCGTTGTCCACACCGTCGCTGTCTTCTCTTCCAGAGTACAAGTCCTCGGCTGGCGCTTCGCTCCAGAATTCCACTCCCCTGAATTCCATAGCCAATGGACGTGATTCTCTGGAGGCGGAAGCCAAGGACGCTACCCCAGGCGCGGTGCCAAGTGTCATCGGTACCTCGTGCGCTTCGGATGAGAGTACTGCCTCGGGCGTTCAAACGTCTTATGGTAGCGCTTCATCTTCGTCGATGATGTCGCTTGGACAACGAGTTGGAGCTCTAGCGCTTGTGGCCCAGAGTGCCGGTGGCTTCGCAGCTGCCGGTGATCTTGGATTTCAGGTCACCCGGACAGTCATCCCGTCGCGTCTTGTGTCAGTCGACCAAGATGACGTTGAGATGGCATCGTCGGTGCACTCTGACCCAGAGATCGCACCCAGGAAGACCGGTCTCCCCAGGATTTCAGCGACGGCTGCCGAGCCGAAACTCAGGGTTTCTGCCCCGATTTCTGGATTTGGTGGTCCGAGGGATGTCAGCGCCGATGAGCGGAGTCAACACCAGAGCTCTAAGAGCGAGGTCCGCTCTCGACGCTCGACGAAATCCAGAAAATCAGCTGCGTCGAGTCGTTCGAGTGGATCCAAGAATCTTGGGTCAGCTTCGTCCGTGTCCGCGAGGTCTGGGCCCGCCCAAATCGAGCTGAATGTCTTGCGACAACAGCAGGAGTGGCAGGCCCGCATGGAGCAGGAGCAACGCGAGTTTCTCGCCAGAGAACGCCTGATGCCTTGGAGCGCGAGCGTCTCAGGGAGCAACGTGACCTGGACGCGCGCCGCCAGATCCAGGAACTCACGGATCGCTTGGTCCTCGCTGAGATCGCCCGAGGAGAAGCGGAACGGCGTGCGCAGGACGTGGAAACTCGCCAGACCCAGCGTTCCACTGAAACTCAGGGGATGACCCAGAGTATCACGGAAGCTGTACGTCTCGAGCGTGAACGCCTGGACGCCGCCTACGCCGAGCGCTGGCAACAGCGCGAAGCCGAAGCCGACTCGGAGCGCGCGCGCTGGGTTTCCGAGACCTATGCGGGTTAGAAGGAACAAATGTCAACTATGGAGCAGAAGGTCCAAGAACTTGAGGCGGAAAGAGTGCGAGAGCGGGAGTCTTCCGAGAATATCCAGCGCTTCCACGCTGGCCAAGTGCGCGACCTTCGTGCAACGTTGGCCCAAGTTCAAGCGCGTCGCGCAACCGTCGCCCCTGGTTTGGCAACAAATGTGAGGTCGTCAGTGGCTCAGAACCCTGAAGTTGCAACCCGACCCCAAAAATCCAGTGGCGTAATCAACGGAAACGCAAGTGTCACAGGCCAGAGACGGGAGACAGCTGAACCGAAGAACACTTCCGAAGTCGCCGCCTCCCAGCTAAGAGCGACCCTCGCGCAGACTTCCGCCGACACTTCCGGCAGAATCGCGCGCGTCAAGCGGGGACATGGCGCTACGGAGACCAAGGTGACCCAGGATGTCAAACTCGAGCCTGCGTCTCTGGAGAAGACGTCGGATCCCAGGAGAACAGCGACCTCTAAGGCCTCGCAGGACTCTAAAACAGACTCCAAGCGCTCTGCACCCAAGAAACACCAGCAGCAGAAGAAGAAGCGTCAGGATGTCAATCCACCCTCGGACTCAGACCCAAGCTCCGATTAAGCGCCGATTCCAGCGATGACGACTCGTCCTCTGAGAGTTTGGGTGGCAGTTCGGACGGGAACCCTGGGGTTAACCTGACGACGGCCTCTACGGCTCAAGCTGGCACTACGCTCCTGACGTTCAGACCGTACATCAACTCGAATACTCTGGGTGAGTTCGATACTAAGGCGTCACTCAGGGAACGCGTGCATTGGTGGGAGCGTTTTGCGAACATGGCGGCTCAGGGAGGTTGGTCTACGAAGATGCGAATTCAGGAACTCAAGCTGAAACTCTCGGGAGCTGCGCGTGACTGGTTCAACCAGTTGCCCAAACACACTCAGCGTGACTGGAAGGAGTTGGCGTCTGCATTCAAGAAGAAGTACTGCAAAGCGCGCTCGTCGTACTCTGAACGCTACTTCACGATGGAGATGAAGAACTCAGAGAGCGCCCTGGATTTCTTCTATCGTCTGAATTCCGCCGCTGGGAAGGCTGACATTGACTTTCGCAAGTCTTTGAAGCGTCTGGAGAAGTATATCCGGAGGTTCATCACGAAACTCAGGGACACGCGCCTCAAGACGTCGTTGCAGGGCCAGAGATTCAGGAGTATCGCTGATCTAGAGTACGGTCTGGAACAGGACGAAGAGGTCTGGAGTCGCAGCAACCATGATGCTCCGCCACCCAGAGTTCGTGACTTTCGTGCCGACAACATTGCTCAGGGGCGTTTCAAGCCGAAGCGTGCAGGACGTGCGTACGTGACTAGGGGCGATGTCTCTGACTCTGAGTCGGATGAAGACCCTGAAATTCACGCGCGTTTCCAGGAAATCACGGACGAACCCAGAGTTTCAGTCCGAAGTGCGAGCGCAAATTCAGGGTCAACTCGTGAGATCTCTGGAGAAGAAACTTCTACGTCTAGCGCTGGGAGCCTGGCGAGTATGAAGGGTGCCGAGTGGACTCAGACGCTGACGAACGAGGTCTATCGCGTGATGGATAACATGGGATGGCGTCCACCGAACGCCCAACCAGGACCGAACGCGAACTCTGGATTCCGTTCCCCTCGCCGCGAAAACCCGAATTGGGACAAGTTCTGCAAGAAGCGCAGCAAGTGGGGGCACCCAGAGGAAAACTGCTGGAAAGACGTGAAGTGTGATCGCTGCCTGGAAGTAGGTCATCCGACTCACTTGTGTCGCGCGCAACCGTGCGAGAACTGTGGCAACCTGCATCTCGGGAAACCGTGTGAAGACTGGAAGCCACTGGAAGCTGTGAAGAAACTCTCCCGCCAAGGTGCACTGAAGGATATGCCGAGTCAAATCCTGGATAAACTCCTGGATGGCGAAGCAAACTCTGAGAGGCCGTCAAACTAATAAGCCCGCTGGGTGGGGACCCAGTACGCGCCGGGCTGAAGAAGGCCTCAGAGTTATGTGTTCTAGTGTATGTTGGCCCTGAGAACATGAACCCAAGATAACCAACAATGCATGACTACTTTGACTCAGGATTTCATGACTTCCCCTGAAAATCAGCATCCTGAACAAGCGAACTCTAGGTCGGTGAACTCTGAAGAAATTGTGGAGTACAAGCGGACGAGAGTTCTCCTGGATACCGGTGCGACTGTGAATATTGTGAGCTTCGACTTAGCGCGTAAGCTCGGACTCACACTCAAGTCGCACAAGCAAACCAAGGTGTCTGGCAGAGGGTCTTCAGGGGGCACCTCTTCAGTCTGAGTTGCAGCGTCTTCAGCGAAGCGCACGCGACGAGTCTTCGGTTTCCTGAGAATCGAGGCAAGCAGTGCCATGTCGGGGCCCTCTGCAGGTCGCGGCAGAATCTTCGTAGGCCACTGATACTCTGGGGTCTCGACACAGGATGGCTCCAGCGTAGCCAGGCGTTCCGCACGAAGTCTGCCCTCACGCGACTGAACACTCTCCAGAATAAGAGTCTGTCACTCCCGGTACGCAAAAGAACCAGGGCGCCAAAGCGTCCGGCACGTGGGAAGAAGCCATACTCCACGATTCGGGCGACCGGCGTTCTGTTGTGAATCCAGACGTCCTTGTCCGAGATGTTGACCACCTTCACAGCGACCGGCCAGGATCTCGCAGCGTAAATCAGGTGCGTTACCCAGCGGTCACCTCGTCCTGCCCACACATCTTCACGCTGCGGGTTCGTCGGTCCATACGAAATCTTCACCACCTTGGTTTCCCCAGGGGCCAGGTACCAACTACCTGTGGTTTCCATGGGCATGTCGACACCCAGGCGATCCTCTGGAGTCCATCCACACATCATGATCGCCTTTTCATCCGGAAGTGTCGCGAGACCTTCGCGAACACTGATCCTCACTCCAGCTGCAAACATGAAACTCATACCCAGAAGTACTTCGATCCCTTCGCCGATGTTAGCAATCCAAACATCCAGGAGATATATCACCCTCGAACCGAGAGTAATCTTCAGCTGAGCACTGGCACCGATGTACGTCGGAACGCCTCCCATGAATTCCGAGACGTTGCTGTTGATACGAGTGACTTGGGTGGCGTTCTGAAGGATGCGGGGACCGATATTGCCTCGCAGACTGTCGGAACCCCAGAGTACACGAGTCCTGAAGGTGATACGGCTGCTGAAAACCTGAGTTTACAGGTTGAAGTTGGCAGTGATTCTCAGGGTCAGTGGTGCGAGAAAGGTGATTCTCTGGATGACGACGATTCTTAGGGTGCTGTTGAAGATTACTGGGACATCCCGATCTCAGGGATGCCGGGAACTCCGTTGGAGAAGCTGAAGCAGGAATATGAGCGCTACATGCGGCTCTCGACAGAGGACCTCGACTACGAGCCTGCGGTCTACATACGCGAAGGAAGTGAGTTACTCTCTCAGTTGCGCGAACAGTTGGTTATGCTTCCTGAGATGCGTGACTTGACCCCTGAGTGCAAGATCGAGGAGGCAGGTGTGGGAGTCCCTGGGAAAACGACGCCCGAGATTGAAGACCAAGTGAGGCGAATTCTGGAATATCATCGGAAGATCTTCTTGGGAGACGGCAATGCAGCTCCCCCACCTGCCCGTGGAGTGGTTTGTGACCTGGATGTAGGCGAGGCTAAACCTGTTGCACAGCGGCCAAGGTCCATTGCACCACACCTGTGGACCAAGGTGTATGAACTTCTGAAGAAGCTTCTGGAGAACGGGCTGATCGAGACTTCTACGTCCCCCTGGGCATCTCCGATCGTGATCGTCCTCAAGAAGAATGGCGTTGACATCCGGATGTGCATCGACTACCGCGTGGTGAATGGCTTCATCAAGCTCTCGCACTACCCGCTACCGCTTATTGATGATCTTTTGATTGGCTTTGAGTCAGCGATGTGGTTTATGAGCTTGGACATGGCGAGTGGTTTCTGGGCTATCAAGATGACCGAGAGAGCCAAGTTGATCTCTGCGTTCGTTTGTCCCTATGGGCATTACCAGTGGGTCAGGATGCCGTTTGGCCTCAAGAACGCCCAGCTGATCTACCAGGCAGTTCTCAATAACTGTCTATGGGGATTTCTGCGGCTTTCCCCTGAGGAAGAAGCTGAGGTTGACCAGGATGTCTTGGACTTTTTGGGGTTGAACTCTGGGGAACCCAGAGTTTCAGGTTAAAATGCCCTGCGACTTTCAGTGTTGACGGATGAGATGACTGTTTCCCAGCGTAACATCCCGGCTCCCTCTCAGATGGGCCCTGTCCTGGGTCGAAGCTCGTATATCGACGATATCGCCCACGGTGCGCCTACTTGGGAGCAGCTGTGCCAGGATCTGAACGCGCTGCTCTTCCGACTACGTTACCGGAATATCTCTGTGAGTCTTCCCAAGAGCGAATTCGGGAAGTTGTCTATTCCGTATCTCTCTCACGAGATTAGTGCTGAGGGTATCCGAGCGACCCCTAAAATCGCGAAGGGGGTTCAAGACTTGCCGTTCCCGACGACACTGAATGGTGTCCAGAGTTTCATGGGGAGTCTAAATTACTACAACAAGTTCATTGAAGACCTACCCGTGATCGCGGCCGTCCTGTACGAGCTGACTGAGGAACAAGTGAAATTCAGGAGAGACCTGTCGAGAGCCCAGGAAGCCTTTGAAATCCTGAAGCGCAAGATTGTTTCGACTCCGTTGCTCAGACATCCGGATCGTTCAAGGCCCTTCGTGATTATTCCCCACGCGAACCCGTGGGCAGCATCCGCTGTGTTGGACCAGGAGTACGACGGGATTGTGCATCCGGTTCGGTTCACAGGTCGCGTCCTGAATGACGCTGAGCTGCGGTATCACATTGCGGAGAAGGAGGTGATTGCTATCCTGAGAGTCCTGGAGGTGTTTCGCACTCTGGTTGAAGGCAGCCCTGAGATCGTTGTCTACACGCGATACTCTGTGTTGAAGTGGTTGCTGACTTCGCAGTCGGCAGACGGTCGAACGGTGTAGTGGGGTCTGAAGTTGTCCCACTGGAACCTGGAGATACGCAGAGTTCAACGAGATGAAGACGGCTTGGCTGCAATTCTGGGTGCGGGTATTACCCCCAGAGAACACTTGGATGAGATCGCTGAAAACCTGATCCCAGCCAAGGGCGCGTCAAACCTCCAGTGCCTATCAGCATGGAAATGCTGGAAGCGGATTATGAGGGGTGTATTCTGAGTTTCGATGGCGCCGCTAAGACTTCCACGCGACAAGGGAGCTGTGGTTGCATTCTGTGGCACGTCCCCGGTTGGGAAATCCTGGATGCCCAGGGATTCATCCTGGAGGACGTGACTGTGAACGACGCTGAGTATTATGGACTTCTGAAGGGCCTCATTCTGGCGATTGAGCGTGGGATTCAGGATATCGTTGTAGTTGGGGACTCCAGGATTGCCATCCAGCAAGCCCAGGGTCTCATCAACTGCAATCAGCCAAATCTCCAGAGGAAGCTGGCCGAGTATGAAGTGCTGAAGTTCAAGTCTGTGCGGCTGGTGCACGTCAAGCGAGAGTTTAACCAGGCCGCAGACTACCTGACGTCTAAGACCCTCGCGCTTGGTGAATCCTGGAAGGTGGAGGATGCTGACGAACGAACACATCTGCAGTTGGTGTCCAAGATTCACGAGAAGTTGGTAAAACTGAAGGTGTTATTGAACGTTGGAATTCAGGGGAGTGATTCTCAGGGTGTCGAAACTCTGGGTATCCCTGGACCTGAGTGCGCTCCGTTGCCTGTGGCGGCCAAAGTGTTTGCAGTAATGACTCGGGCGCGAACTCAGGAGATCGAAGCCCAAAGCGAACCCATGGGACCTCTGGAGTACCAGGCAGAACGCTGGCGACGCATCAAAGTGCACCAGGGCAAAGATGATCACCTGCTGCAACTCAAGGATTTCCTGAAAGGAGAAGACACGACGAAGCTGTCGCACGCTCAAGCCAGGAAACTCGCGAAGGTCGCTGATGATTTCGTGTTGGATTCCAGAGAAGTCCTGTACCGCTTGAGTCGGGCTACCAGAGATCGACCCCGAGACATGGTTGACGAACTCAGACTCGTGGTGCCAAAAGATCTGCGACCGGATATCCTGTATTACGCTCACGAAGATTTTCAGGGTGGGCACCAGGGGATCACGAGGACGTACGAGAAGCTGCGCTCTGAGTTCTACTGGCACGGCATGTACGCTGATGTGGAAGTTTTCGTCAAAGAGTGTGTGGATTGCGCCAGCGGCAAGGGGCGCCCTCAGAATCCAGGGCCTTCCCCTGGGAACATCGAACCGAGGCGCCCTTTTGAAGTTGTGTCTATGGATTTCGTGACACACTTGCCTAAGTCGGACCGTGGGAACGCGTTCCTGCTGCTTTTTCAGGATGCGTTCTCAGGATTCGTCATGTGTAACCCATGAGTTCCACCACGGCGCAAGATGTCGCTGAAGTGTACGAAGAGCAGGTCTTCAGGAGATTCGGCGCGAGCTCGATGCTGAGGCACGACCAAAACCCAAGGTTCATGAGCGAGGTGTTCACGCGCTTCCGTGAACTTCTGGGTAGCAAGCAGCGGGCCACTCTGGCGTATCGCCCCAGGCGAACGGACAACAAGAGCGGTCGGTGCAGACCGTCGTGCGCAGCATTCGAGCGTACATTGCGGAGGCGGACCAGAGCGACTGGGACGACCATGCTGAGCGCCTGATGTTCGCCCTGAATACATCGTTCGATGCTACTCGCCTGGACACTCCGTTTTTCTTGGTGCACGGCTGGGACGCACACGGCACTGTGTCTGCAATGTTAGGACCCAGGCCCTCGAGTATCCAGGAGCGCACTGCGTACGAGTGGCGCAGAAAGCTACAGCGTGACTATAGTTATGCACAAGCTTGCGCTGAGGATCTTCAGAAGAAGGCCAAGCGCGCGCGCTCTGCCAAACAAACCAGGAAGTGGAGAGAGCTGTCCGAACGACTGAAGGCAGGATTCGCAGCCGGTGATGCTGTGTGGCTGTATATACCCAAAGTGCAGCCCGGGCTGAGCCGCAAACTGGCTCACATGTGGCATGGCCCCTTCAGAATTCAGGAAATCCATGACCACTTCCGCGTGAAACTCAGGGTCGAGAACACAGGATATCGCGTAGATCCCTGGGTACACGTGAGCCGTTTGAAACCCAGAGCACTATTCCCGAAGCGGCCCACTGTGGAGATCGACGTGGACGAGGATGATGACTTTGATGCGGCGCTGTTGCCTGAAGACAGTTGGGAGCCCGACGCTGCGAACGATGAGTACGAAGTTGAGCGAATCCTTGATTTGCGATGGACTAAACGGGCTCGGACAGCGAGACGAATTCGTGAGTACCTTGTGAAGTGGAAGGGGTATGATGAGACCGAGTGGCTGCCTGTGTCGAAGCTCAACTGTGGTGCCCGGCTCTACGAATTCAATCAAGGCACAAGAGCGCGGGCCCGTTTCCAGGCCATGCAGGCTGGAGATGATCACCCAGGATTCTAGCACTCTGGGGTGACAATGACCCAGAGTTACACGTGATATTCAGGGGAAACTCTGGGTGACACTGTGAAACTCTGGGGAAAATCGACGGAATGTGGAGACGGAAAAAGTGAATGTGATTTGACTTGATTTGATTATGGAAAAGGTGATACAGCTGAGGCTTTGGCAGTGTGTGAGAAGGAAGATGAAGGCGGCGAGCTTTACAAGGACATGGAGACAGTAAACGAAGTTGGATGACCCAGAGAACAAGTCAGAAAAATGATGAATTTCTGGGGAAGACATTGAAATCGAGATGAAGTCCTGGGTATTATGGAGAGTTACGCTACGACATGTGAAATTCAGATGGTTCTCGGGATTTGGAGGTGACCTTGACTCTCACGAGTGCTTGAGAGACAGCGGGTTGAGCTTGCGGATGGCCAGGGGTTTGATGTGGCGCTTGATGTTGCTCGGCACGTATTGTAGCCACTCATCGTCGTCAGCCGCCGTGTTCCATTGGACTCGAGCAGGCTCACGAATGTCCAACGTCGCTAGCTGGACGTCTAAGTCCTTGCACTTAGCTCCCCCGAGTTTTTTGGCCCTGGGATCCTCCCAAATCCAGTAGCAGCACTTGTCCGGGAACTTCCAGAGACCCGGTTCGTGCCTCAACGACGGGATGAACCCAAGAGTGTTGCGCGAGCGCTCGACGAGCGTCTTGTACGCTCTGCGTAGCGCGTTTCGACGCGACTTCCGCTGAGATTCCATGGTGGCGTCTGCTTGTTCTTCAGTCGGAATAGGCGCCCAGTGCCCGCGCTCCCAGATTGCCTGTGCGTGCTTGTGCATGATGTTCACGACGTCCTCCATCAGCTTGAGCGCTTTCGCGGAGAGTAGCTCTCGCTCATGGAAGTAGAACATTTGGAAGCGACCCTGAAGCATAGTCTCCCAGGGTTCAGAATCCAGGACTTCTTGGTATGCCTCACGGTCCCAGCGCTCGTGAGCAACGTCGTACGAATACTTGTGGATCTCGTACTCTGGGAACCCGGGAGTCTGGCAAGACGCACTCTTGGTCGAACTTGGATATTGAACAAGAACCCCATAGATGCGCCAGGAGGTCTCGTTGTCGTCAGGGTCTTCGGCCGTCATCAACTCACTTGAATTGAGCTCCGAGTACGATTTCCGCGCGAGCGTCGACGGATGCTTGGAGCGTGATGTAGCCTTGGACCCCTGAGTACCACTAGAACCCTGAGTGGCAGAAGTGTCTGTCTTGTTTCCCGTGTCGACTTCGAGTTGGAACCCTGAGGTTTCTTGCTTGACTCAGGACGGGGGCGCTTAGCAGGAGGCTTGACTTCCAGGGGTTCTTCTACCCCATTGTCGTCCTCTGCGTCGTCGTCGTCCTCTGCATCCTCGATGTCCTCCAGAGTTTCAGGGGCGACCTCCTCCTCCTCCTCTTCAGAGCTATTACTAGAGGCGCTCTCCTCAGGTTCCTGGGCGGGAGGCTGGTAGTCCGGGTCGTTCTCGATGTCGTCCACCGTGGAATCGGCGTCCTCATCAGGGTACACCATGGGGTCATCGAGGTTCCCCCAGGGTGGTGGCACATCACCGCGTCGAAGGCACCTGCGAAGACGCTCGTCTGCCATTTCGTAGTAGGCTTCAGGGACGTACTTGCTCCAGGGAGTCAGGTCAAGACGACACCAGTACATCATGCTCACGAGCATCTTGATCAGCTGCGGCTGCCTGAAGTGCCCGTGAGCCGCCCGGTCGCTGCCAATCCACTCCATGGCTGTGTCGTTCTTGAGCCCAGCAAGAATGGCCTGACGTACGTCTGGCCGAACTTCCTTCCAGACGACACCCCCCGGGAGCATCGTGTGTGCGGCCTCCTTGGACACCACAGTCTTCTCGCTGGCGCGACGCACAGAGTCGCGGCCTGGTTGGTGATCCGTGGGGCGACGCTGAACTTTGTGAGGCTTAGGGTGCGCCGACTGCCGTGGCGACTCGCCCGGCGCCTTGGAATCCCGTGATTTCCGGGGTCTTGACCTTTCTTGGAACCCTGAGATTTCTTGGAATCCTGAGTTTTGCCCCCGGTCTTCGAGCCGCTGCGAGGCTTGCTGCCAGGATCCGTGAGATCCAGAATTTCAGGACGACCGGACGATCCAGACCCCGAAGGCAGAGGCATACGTGTGTTTTTCTCTGGGTACGGGGCCAACGCAGCCTTGCGCTTGTCCATGGCCGTGACGTTGATGACAGTGTCCCAGGATTCGGGAGGCTTCGAGCCCTTGATGCAGAGCTTGAAGAGGTCGTGGAGGTGCTCCCAATTACCCGTGAAGTCTGTGTGCTCTTGAAGGAAATCGGAGAACTTCCAGGGGTCCACGGTGGCTGACTCAAGACGCGAATTCAGGATTCGCACTTGTGCCTCAGAGTCGGCAAGGCGCGCCTTGAGTTGCGCCTTCTCGAACTCCAGAGAATCAATCTCGTCTTGATACCGCGTCTTCTGCTCGCCCAGCGCGACTTTGTACTTGGACTCAGCGTCATCCACCTTGCCCAGGGCCTCTTGGACCTCCAGGAACCAGTAGTCGCACGTGAATTTCCAGGCGCGCTTCAGTTCCTTGTACTTGCGTCGCGTGTCGACTACTTCCTGAGTGGCGGTGAAACCCTGCTGAGAGTCAGCCAGAGAACGCATGTTTCGGTAGGACCCGAGGACTCGACGCAGGTAACCAGTCATCTTGAACACGCGCTCAGCGAGCCTTGTGCTGTTGAAGTGACGCAGGAGTGAGGCCATCTCGCGTCGAATACCGATGGAATTCAGGGTGTTGTCCAACTCGAATGCGGAAAGAGGCGAACGACGTGGACACAGGACGTCGATCCCAGCGTTGGCGCCACAGACTTCCTTCAACCCCTGAAGATCCTCGTCGGAGAGCTCCTCGAAGCCGATCAGCGTAGACGCGCCGCCGTAGCCTTCCATGGCGAATGCACCCGCGCAAATGTCGTTCACGATCCCTGGTACTCCCACGAGATACGCGTTGGTCTTGAGATCCGGCGGGGTTGGCAGTTTCCAATGCGGTGGGCGCTCAGGGAGTACGAAGTCGGGGACATCGACCTCCTCCTGCCGAAGCATGCCTGCGAAGATGAGTCCCCTGACGTCCTCTAGCGTCACGTGTCGTGGTAACTTGAACTCAGGGGCGCCCTCCATGTTCACGTCCGAGGCCGCGCCGCCTGCGTCTGGCGCCTTAGACTCTGAGTTCGCGTCACCAGTTTCCTGGGTTGCAGCGTCAGCCGAGGCGTTGTCATCGGCCTCGCGCATGTCCGCGTCAGAGGTCTTGCCGGTGGCGCTGGAGAAGGAGACGTGCTTGGTCGCGCCCGCCTTGGTGCTGCCCGTCGAAGTGTCGCCGGACGCTGAGTCACCCGTCTGGCCGCTGCCGCCACCTGCTGGTGTGGCGTTCGCAGGGGCGTCGCCGGTGCGCTGCTGCGTCGGAGGTGGCGCGCTGCCGGGGGGCGCCGTGCCTTGAGCTGGCGCCGTCGCTTGCTTGCCGTCCGAAGGTGCGCTCTCCGCAATGTTGACGATCTGTGGAATGGCGATGTGACCGCGCATTGCCCGTTGGAGTTTTTGTGTTTGAGAGGAGAACCTTGAAGATAGGTCCTGACCAACCGTTGGGGAGACAGGGTGCCGCCAAAGTGAGTGAAACCCTGGGAGTCGACAGAGTGCAACGGCCGTATCGAAGTCGACGGTGGATTGCCCTCTGTGGTTTTGTGGCCTGGCCATGGTTCACCAGTTCGGAGCGATTTCCTCTTTGATGGACCCGGACCAGGAGGGGCGGTTGACACGAGGCGGTCCCCAGAAAATTGCCGACGATGTGCCGTCACCTCTGTGACTTGGAGTTTGTATCGGATGCTGATTGGTGGATGACTTGGATACGGCGCGGCTGTACCCGTGTGACATGGATGGCGACAGTGGGAGAGAAGTGATTTCTCGGGATGAATCCAGCGCCTGACCGCATATGGGCCCAACTGGCTGGAAGTGTGAATCCTGGGAGTGCACGCCCAGGATTTCAGAGAACACTCAGTCCAGCCGCGGACTTTCCCTTACGATGAGTGCCTAAAGTCTGGCGGAAAGTACACCTCATCTTGCTGTGGCTCAGAGTGCCCCAGAGAATCAAATTACCCTGAGAATCAACCCACTACCACCATGATCATGCGCAGGAGGCCGCTAAACCCGCTAAAAGTGTGGCTTTGTGGAGATACACGCGGGCCTGCAATGTAGCAGACTTGTTACCCAGAGTGCTGCACGGAAACCCAGAGTGCCGCACGATGACCCAGAGTTCACCTCCCTGAGTACAGGTGACCCAGAGTTCCAAAGATGATTCTCTGGGTTTGGACCATAAATCCAGACTCTCTATACTGAACTTAAGTGTTTCCCGAGCCAACACCCAAGAATCCCCACAGTTCCCCAAGATTCCTCAGAATTCCCAGGATTTCAGAAGATGACCCTGAGTGTCACCTGGTTTTCAGGGATTCGAGTCAGTTCGAAGCCAGTCTGCAATCAAAATGATGCGTGACCTTGAAGAACCGTTGTGGATGCAAAGACTGGATACTTTCGAGGAGTCGAGAGGGAGTCCTGCACCATACTAAACCAAGTCTAAGGACCCACTATTAGCACTTTCGGCGCCGTGCGACAATGGATTCGCAAGCCGATCGCAAGTTTGGACCGCTGATCCCAAGGTATACTCAAGACAAGACATTTTGACCCAAAACATAGTGAACAGAAGATATTTGCCCGAAGAAGAGAGAGAGAGAGAGAGAGAGAGAGAGAGAGAGAGAGTGAGAGAGAGAGAGAAGTAGCTGATAAAAACCAAACAGAGTTCCTGTTACCCTGTACTGCGCAAGTGACTTCGGCCAAGCCTGCCGACGGAAATCCGGAGGACCCGAGACTACGACCGCGGGACGCTAAGGGCACATCAACGGCGAAGGACAGCCGTCTGTGTGGACTCCATCAACTAAAGTCCAGCTAGGTGGGGACCAGCGACGGCCTTGAGCTTCCTGGAGTGATCCATCTATTCCATATCCTAGTTGGGTCACTTGCTGTGCTGGTAGCCCATTTCATATTATTCCAGAGGGTATTCTGGGGTGCTAGGTAGTCGCCTCCAGGATTTTGTATTGACTGCTTGTGTGAAGGGAAGGTAACTGATAGTGATTGTATTTTCCTCCTTTATTGGAGGTGGTGCGCATTTGTGTGAGTCTCAGGGGAGCTAGGCCCCTGAATTTCAGACTCGAGTGAGCCTAGTGTGTGTGACCCACCGTCCAAGGGTCCAAAAGAATACGTGACGGCGAGTTATAGTGTTTGTATACTCTGTATTTGTTGGTTTTATCGAGCTAGGAGGGCATTTGGGTAAGGTGTCTTCTGAGTTCCACGTCCCGGAGTTGACTGAAATCCTGGACCCTGAATTCGTGATATTCTGGGTTTCAAGAGATCTGATTATCTGGGTTTGCCTTTTGGTGTGGAGGTGCGTTCTGAAGTAGACGTGCGCTCCCGCACTTCTTCGAGGCTACATTTTCAACCGGTGGAGTGCCGTTCCGTCGAAGACAAACGAGCCGACAGGGATTACACAAGGTACCCACGCCAACCAAGGAGTGTGATTCTCAGGGTTTAAAGCTTTGCGGCTGCGAATCTCTGGGTCTATCTTTTTGCTGTTGACTCTTAAGTCGATTCTCTGGGTCTACCCCTGGGAACCGTCTTGGGCTGCGCTATACGAACCCCCCTGGGCGACAAAGGTTTCATCGGCCTCGCCTCACTATTTGAAGGGGAGCACTATTGCTTGACGGCTATTGAGCAGCAAGGCAAGACTTCAAAAACTACTGCAATCAGCTTCGAGCGTGCATGGTTGTGTCGGTACCCTCGCCCTAAATGCGTCGTACATGACCTGGGTCCTGAATTTACGTGCGATGAGTTTCAGTTGCTGCTCGTGTCCATGGCAATCAAAGGCAAGCCGATCACGTCGAAGAACCCCCAGGTCAATGCTATCTGCGAACGAGTTCACTTGGAGATCGTGAATATTCTGCGGGTGAGACCTGATCTACATGACCAACTCGATGTGGCGCTGGACTACGCTGCATACGCCATCCGGGTCAGTTATCACTCGGTTCTCCGAGCTTCACCCGCGCAGTTGCTGTTCGGTGAAGATATGATCACTCGCGAGCTTCATTTTGTCAACTGGGGATTTCTCTCCAACCAGCGCTTCATGGCCATCCTACGCATAAACGAGCGCGAAAACATGAAAAGAATTCAGCACTTCTACAAGGTCGGAGATCAAGTTATGCTGCGAATCCCAGCTCACGGTCGCAAGAACCCTGTCTCTAAGGGGCCATTCTTCATCAAGAAGGTGTTCGACTATGGCAACGTCTGTCTCGACACCGGATCGACGGAGTACCGTGTCAACATCCGTCGCATTTTCCCGGCTGATCCTGCATTTGTTCATTTCCTGGTATGAGGGAGAATGACAACTCCCACGCAACTGTGGAGCCAGCGTGCCTGTCCTCACCGAAGATCGTAACTCAGAACTCAGCAGGCACTGCCCCATGGGTTCATTGGGTTCACTCGAAGCTTCGTAGTAGACAGCTAGTAAGATGCCAGGATAATTTTAGTTCTCAATTTGCATAGCAGAGTTCACGTGGATTTGCACATGCATGGATTAAGTATAGCGCAGCAACTTCAGATAGTAAGTAGGGTCGCGCCTGGTCAAGCTCGTCGCGTTTAGGAGGTTGATGTCGCTTCCATGCGTGTACAGCATCGTCCACGCGGAGTCGCTCGGCGTGTCCAGGCACTGGGTGGTCAGGTAGTGCCTGGTCCGCATGGCGATCCTCCACGCTCCTTCCACGAGCTTGTCGTACACCTCCCTGTGCACCTCGTGCAGCGTCTCCTCCTGCTCGACGAAGGCCCTAGCCAGCACCAGCATCACATCGACGTCCTTCGCGGCCATCCGGCACTTGTATCCGACGCGCGCCAAATTTGAAACTGGTGAAAACTAGCAGGGATGCGGCGTCGGCGGTGTCCGGAACGAAATGACAGGTACATTCTTAAAGCTCATCAAGAGTCTATCAGGCCGCCTGATTCAGGGCGATATCAAGCGGACAGAAGTGACGCATGTACGACAATTACGGTGAAGCCTTTGAGCGCTATATCAACATATATATATTTAAACCCTGTCCATCCATCCACTCTCACCAGTGGCCTGGTGAGCTCCGACGACGCGGGAGGTACTACAGCTCCACTACGTTACTAGACCGAGCCACAAGACAATGCCATCGAGTCGCACCGCAGCAGTGTCGTCGTGAGGGCGACAAGAGGAGAGCGGCCGGGACCGCTCACGCCGGTAGGCTGAAAGGCGACAAAAGCGGTAATTGGGGCCCGAGAGCGTGGCGGGTGTGCATGGCGACGGCTAGGGGCGGCGCAGCGTCCATAACGCGTACGTAAAAGCAGCATAATGAGCATAAGAGTGCGCGTGCCCGGATTCGAACCAGGGATTTCACCGCCACAAGGTAAGGTACTCACCACTATACTACACACGCGTGGAAGGGTAGCTGAATGCAAATCACTACATACACTACCCTTTGGAGAGGTTGATGTCGGATTATTGCCACACTTGGCCACAAGAACACGTCTTCGCAGTACCCCCCCCCCCTCCCAACGGAATCGATCACATCGGTCGTGTTCGCGTGAAGCGTATGAACAATCGATTATTGAGCGGGATTGGTCGAGGACCCCACGCACAGCACCAATTCGAACTTCAGTAATAATACCAGTGATATTATCACTGATTCCGCCATGTTTTTTTGCGAATATTGATATTATCACTATGACCTGCCAGACCTGAGCGATATTCGCAGTTCGTAAGAACTGTCGTTTGCGCCCCTGCGGATGTTTGAGATAATGCAACATAAGGTTTTATGTTGCATTATCGGTTAAAGAGCAATTTGAAACAACAGCAATGACAGTTGTACAGCAGTTATATTACAGCATAGCAGCGCAAACGATTCATTAGAGCTCAGAGCATGTTTTTGGCGATAAACTAACCAGGCGGAGCGATAATAAAGAGTGGTGATCAGTCAATCAATGTAATCTGTGAGGAATCGACCGTATCGGGGCAGCAAGCGAGCAGAGTCGCCGTCGTATCGGCTAAGTTAGTTTAGACATGTGGCTGTCATTTCTGAGATACAATATCTACATGTACATATCAGCAGCAGCAACAATAAACCGACGTTGAGTAAAACAAAATTATCGCTATTGATTAATGGTAGTGGGCGCAGAGTGTTTGTTGCGAGTCGACTAGTGAGGAGAGCTAAACGACATGGAAATCAGTATAGCAATTCTACAAAATCAAGTTGCAGGCGTCACAACTGGACATATAACCAGAAAAAACACATAATATTCAACATGAACCGAAGTTCAGTCTGGCAGCTTGAAGCTGTGCAGTATGCAGCATGAATACATGTAGCAGTAGTGTGAGTTCATGTAGATCCACCACGGTAGATCGAGCAGCGTAAGCGACCGAGCAAATGGACGCATGATACTTCACAGTACAAAAATAAGAGCATGTGCAAAAATTCAAGAACTTCTTCATGCAGCTCTCTTCTACGGCAAGCGTAGCGCTACTACATAGTACTATTAGTAGTAAATAAAGTTTTTCTACCGTGCAGGTTTTGGAATCCAGAAAAAAAAGCGACCGAACTGCGAACATCGCGGGCCAAAGCCCGCAAACCAGTATTAGTATCAGTATCAGTATCTGTGATAATATCACTAATATTGGTGATTCGTTGTGTTAGTACTACCGAATCCTGGCGGTGGGGTTAGGGATTTGTGGTTTGGCTCACCAATTCTCATGCATTTGAAACGCATTCCGAATCTAGTCCTGTAGGAAATGAACGTTATGTACGAAGTATGTGGTAGGAAGGAATGGTAGCACACCTCGGCAACAAGGTCGCGCGGGCTGCGCAACACTGCCACGTTGTGACTTACTGTGCTCTAGCAGGAGCTAGCCTGCTGTATTACATGTACAGACATAAGTCATTGACAACAGTATCTATCTAATAGGTGCATATCTAGAGACAAAAGAGACATTGTATGTCGCGTGACACTTCCCGCGCGCCAAGTGCAAGACGTGGTTTCGGAACAGCCATCGCGATCTATTCATCGTGTTCAAGGCCCTCTTGCCGTGGTGGGCTGCTGCGGCGACGGACACCAATTTGGTTGCGGCTCAAAACGCTTGCATCACTCCTTTCCTTTTACAGCCAAACCGCTATGCAGCGTCATCTCAGTGCATGCACTGACGCAGACAGAAATTCTCTGGAAGGACACGACCAAAACTGTCCACAATCGACTGGCGAGAGATGTATGTTCAGGCTCACTCTACACCATGCATGGTCGCCTTTTCCTTCACGACTTCGTCAAAGTCGTCGAGTCGAACGGATGCCTGAGGCTGCTTCCTCAGCATTGATGGATTAACCGTTTTGCTAGTGAAAATCAGATTCATCGGCTTGAAGCAAATGAAGCCACCGCCGATACGACGTCCTAACAAGAACACTGTGTCCCTCCTCAATCATGGGGGGTTACAGGCTTGAGTGTTAAAAAATATGGTTGTAGTGTTTACACTTTCCCTGGCATAAACCCTAAAGATATTTTTTTCTGATTACAGCTTCAACTTTAATATGGTTAACTAGTACTATCCAGTATCAAGACGGCGTCGATGCATTTCTCAACTAACATCTTAACGTAGAATATAGTCAAAGTTCTCGTGAACATTCGTTGCAGGTCGATTTACAGTTTATCTTTTACAAATTGAAAAGATACATTTTCTGATAGCAACCTCAACTTCAATTTAGCTAAAAACTATAAAATTTACAGAAAGTACTAGTCAATTTAAAGTTTATGGTATATAAATATTAAATATGTTTTAGTTATAGCTTCACCTTCTCTTAGATATATACAAAACAGAATTCACAAGGCGTCCAACCATGTTTTTTTTATTCTAACCAAAATCAACTACCCTGTGTTTAAATCTTTTGTGATGACGCGAAATGTGGGTGTGGTACGAGCTGGGGTTCAAGTACAACTTGCCGTTTAGGCAACAGACGTGAGTTTTCCCCAGAAGATTTTCGCGCTTGCGCTTCGGCTTGTTTTCCGAACCCTTGAGGTTTGCAGGACAGTAAAACTGGTGCATGTCCTTCTCAGTAAGCTTGAGCGTCTCCAAACCCCAGAACTTACAGGCGTACGTCCGTGGCAGCACGCTAGTGACGTCTTCACGCTCCCAGCGCATCCCGGGATAAGTCAAGTAGCAGTTTAGGCGATAGTTGGCAGTCAGATACAGCATGCCGTTGTGTATGAGGTCGCCGCGAAAAACGATCGCAAAGCCTACAGGAATGGGTACCTCGCGCGCCTTAGAGCCGTCGAGCTCATCACAACAATCTTCAAACACTCGGAGGCTGGTTCCCGGCTGCAAAGCAAGCAGCATACTTAAACTGGTAGACTTAATACTAAGCACCATCCTAGAGCTGGACGCAGAAGTCGATGGCATTAAGGAAGACCACATCCGCAAGTTTCTGCAAGCTGCACGCGAAGCCACCAGGTTGGGGACTCCAATAAACGCCGGCGGCCGCGAGTTGGTAACAGGCACAAGGCACGGTGGCAACAGACGCAACCGCAGCCATCGCGACATCAGAGGGAGATACCTCGCCGCCGGTCCAGGATAAAAACGCCTTCGTGTCCAATCTGGCGGATTCGCTAGGTGCCGTGGCGATGCCAACCTCCGAAAATGAGCAGCAACAGCGGTGCGCGTGGACGGACCTTGTTGAAGCCTTGCGCAAGAAGGCCGGCACGCTGCAGACGCCTGCCGACGCCAGAAACGGACTTGGAGAAGCTCTGCGACGGCCCACCATGGACGAAACCGAAGTTGCCCAGGCTACACTTGACGTCCGCCAAGCTGCCTTGGATCTCGCCGCTCTGATGGCCCGCCGCCGAGGAGCCGATGATGCAGCGAGGGCAATGAATACGGCGTTCGACAAATACCTGACCTGGCAAAAAAGGTGCGTAATGGAGAGGATTGGAGAAGAAGACGGAACTCTATTGTACCTGGTGGAGTTGGGGGCCGACGTGGTAGCCACCGCAGCACTTGGACCCTGAGCAGCTTCGAGGGCCGTCGATTTGTGCGCAAGCTCGTCGACTTCGAGGCAAAAGACGTCCCAGCTGGGAAACCTAAGGTATCGTTCAACAACAAACAGGCATACCCACCGAAGGAAAAAAAACAGGCTCAGCAGAAGTGTAGGCGTAGTAAGTAGAAGAGAGCTCGTTAATCTGCATAATACTCCCTCCGTTTCAGATTACTTGACCCGTTTCACTTACATCGACCTGCTGAAATTACGTTGGTTGGAACCCCTAACAAATCGCACACTAAAATAAAGAGCGCAGCCTGCTGCTTCATGGCGTGATAATCATGCAGATTTACGGCATTTCTCCTCCTTTGCAGCGTCCAGAACGTCGTTGGTCCATACAATAATCAAGTGAGAATAGACGTCTGTGCATTATAATCGCGACTAGGGCTTTCTTCTCGGTAAATCCTAGTTTTTAATTATTAAAAAATTAAGGACACGGCGGGAATCGAACCCGCGCCCTTCCGCACAAATGGCGGTGCTCTTAACCAATTGAGCTACGTGCCCAAAGCCCACTTTGTATCAACATAACACGCATTTATTCTTGTGGTGTTAAAATCTTGAAAGCCTCTACCTGCAACCTCAGCAGTTTTTTTTTTCCTTCTCAGCTCTATCGTGACTTGCTAGAAAATGATAGGCAGCACCCTCCAAGTACACGGACGAATCGCACACATAGTTTCTTCCGAGAAGTCCGGCTTTACGAAGCTTGGCCTTCCCAATGTGAGGTCGCTTGTAGCTGTTGTTTCCGTGGTCTTGGATGATGCACTCCATAACCTTCTGCAGTGACACAAAAGTATCTTCACGTGCGCTATTTTTCCGGTTCGCCAACGACGCGACCGTACAGGCAATCAGCTCGTCGATATTGCGTGGACACTCCTCGTACTGAAGCGCTTGAATCGAGCAGAAGTACCCCAAATCAAGCGTATTGAGGTCGGGGCTGTTGGGCGGCTGTACATCGAGAGTGATCTTCCAAACACCTTCCTGGCATGCTGCATGAATCAATGGGTCGTGGGGGCTGACATGACAGCGAGTTCCTACTTGCTGAATGATGAGTTCAGTACCGCGGAGCGTAGGAGGGCACTTCGACTTGATGGCGGGAATGACGTTATCAATCAGCATCGCTATCTGCTCCTTGCGTCCGACGTTGACAGAACGGGTCACCAGCGTACCCGCAGCTCTGTTTCGAGAGCTCTTCAGAGCTGAAACGCGCTCCACGAAGGGCCACATGACGATCTTCCCGTCAAAGACCATGGACCCGTCAGCACCGTAGATAGGCTGCATCACAGCAGCCATGAACATAACCTTCGTGGTGAAGCGTTTTGACTGGACAGTTCGGTGCGGCGGTGTCTCGTTGGATGCCATGCAGATCGTTCTGTCGGCTTCGGTCATGTAAAACCACTTCTCGTCAATGTAGATTTGTTACGCGGTGCCGTCACTAAAATTTGGGTCATGGGACCAAAACCCGGGAATTGCCCAGATTGTGGAGTTCGCGGATTGGTGGAAATATGTTGGTCAAGAATGATGACCACGGTACCAGATAAGTGGTACATTCTTGGAACCCGACAATCGTGCCTGGGATTCTGAGAGTTCGTGCTGGACTTGGAGCCGAATAAAAACAAGAGTATGTTTGTGGCGAAAGTGAGACCCCGGAAAGCAGGTCGGTGTAGGCGAATGGATCCCGTTCCTAGAAGTGCACAGGAATGTGTGCGACCTTCCCTACGAATCTGCGCGAGGCGGAACTCGACTCTGGCTTACAACCTGGGAGCTGAGGCACTTCTCAGATTCCCCGTTGTTTTCCCAGAATAACGACTCCCAACGTTCGTGTCCTCAGACTTACTTCCCACAAAAGTCCAAGAGCAGCCTCTGTGCGAGGCGTTTCAAGGCTCCAAACCCAAGAACACTTGGTTTCACTATGGCATCTTCCAAGATCCGAGGTGTACCCAACAACTCCGAGAAGGTATCCAGTCTGGCGACCCTTCACGGTCAGACCAACACTCCGCCGAAAAATCGCAGTCTCCGAGGAGTCGCTTAGGAAAGATTTCGTCTGCATGTGACCTTTAACCAAACAGAGTTCGTTTTGCTTCGAAGGGCACGAGTGCTTCTTTCACAGCCTGGAAGGCCGTTCTCCACGACAAAATTCAAAGTACTTTAGGTAAGTGATCCACTGCTTCGGCCTGGAGGTGATCATATATATTCCATATCTGTATATTTGGCGGATTGCAGACCGTCTTTGCTGTATATTTGCGGTCTATTGGGCTTGTGTCGAACTGAAGAAGTTGGCGACAGGGTAGATTGTTTCCTCTCTCCGAGAGGTGGTGCGCGTCCCCAAGATTGATCAAGTGTCTTGGATTTGGACCAGTTGACTTGTGTTTTGGCCTTAGCCTTGGGCCTAGAGAAAGAAGAGAGGGCAAAGGAGTATTTGTGTGATTGTATAACGTGTATAACTCTATTTGGGTTGGATTGTTCTAGCGTTAGCCCGGCGTAGCTGTCTGATTCACGGGGTCGATACTAACCTCCTGGTGCAAAGAACCGCTACCCAAGGGATACACATCGTGTGCCTGACCAACATCGTGTATTGGACAACACACACCCTGTGCCAGCCGAGGCGGATCCAAAGCTCTAGTAGCCTGAGGTCTGTCAAGGAGGGCCTATAGCTGTTTTCTGGGAGAAAACACCGCATCGCCTCGTCACAGCTGGTGCGCGTGCCCGGATCAGGGGTTGGAAGTTGAACGTGCATTGTGAGAGTTATGCCTACTAACGCTAACGCGATTGTGCCTGCTTCGAGTCCTGGAAGATGCGGACGAGGTAGTGGACGCGGTCAACGTGCTCAACGAGTGTCAAGACCGCTGCAACTCCCTGTCCCGCCTCCGGGGCCCGGACAAGATCCTGCGATGTCGACGGAGACCGAACAACAACTGGCGCTGGCCGAACCAGCGCGCCCGACATCGACCCATTCGACGCCAAGACGAGCTTCTCAAGTGATGGTTCCCCGTTCTGTGCAGTCCAGCCCTGGACGGCCCCTAGACCGTGGTTCCGACGCTCAAGCAGCACGTCTGCCGACGGAGTTGGCGCTGAGCCCTGCGGCTGCAAGCGCCCTTGGAAAACGTGATCATGTGGCGCTGCGAGAGTGGCGCGAGACGAGGGTCCCGGATTCCGGTGCACCACAACGTCTTGGGCCTGCTCCTGGCACCCGTGTCTTCGGACCTGAGCTGCCAATCACGCTGCACTCGACGTTCCAAGATCCGCTTCCGCTGATTCCACGGCGCACGAGTGAAATCCCAGGATCCGACGTAAACTGTCTTGCTGACGACGAAGCCCGAGCGTATGGAGCCGAACATCTGAGCCGCTGGAGCTCTCTTCCAGGAGAAGTCATCTCTCCAGTCGACGTCGTCTACGACGAGGGAGAAGAAGAGTACGACATGGAGGCTTAGGTCTTCGATGCATTCGAGACTGGGAAATACTTGGGTCGTGTGAACGCTGGTCGGACTTCCGAGTCCTGGATCAAGGCGTTGTCTGCCAAACGCAGACGGCAACCGCTGGTCTCGGACATGAAGGCCGTCACCATAGTTGCTTCCGGCTGCTGCATGCGACGCTGTGCTCCAGACCATGTTGATGGAGGCCGGCTTCGAGTTTCGCAATGTGAATCCTACGTGGAGTGAAGTCCGCGCGGTGTCAGAGGTGTCTGAGAATCTGATCCGCCGAGGTGTTGAAGAAGTTCAACTCAGACTCGCAGTTGAGAGTCTTGAGTGGAACAAGCTGATGGATGGCGTAGGGTTTCACATCCGACAGCCGCTGGAGCCTCTCCCAGCTGTGCAACTATCCGAGCGAAGTACAAGTTCCCCGACTGATGCCGATGGAGACGTCCTAATGACGGACGACGCTGTGGAACTGCTTGCCGAAGAATTATTGCGCCGCTTGAGGATCACGCGGACCAGAAGAAGAAGTCCTGCTTCAAGCGCGTCTGTACAACCAGCGCCCAAGCGTGCGGCCTTAGAAGCTGAGCGATCTCCGCCCAGTTCCCCGATGCCTCCGACATCGTCGTCCCAGAGTCTGGTGCCCCAACCATCGGTATCCCAGAACGTCGTGCCTCGGACTCAGAGCCTAGTCCCTAGAGCTCCAAGTCCTGAGCTAATGGCGAGTGTGGACTAAGTTCCTAGTCTGGTGGGACCAAGTGGTGCTTCCGACGAGTCGATGAACGCGGCCGCTGAAGGAACAGACCTGTCGGGGCACTGCTCCTCAGGATCGTCGTTCTTGTCCGCCGCGGACTACATGGCTGGCAGTGCCTTGGGTCATATGCCTGGACCAAGCCCGATGGCGATGGTAATGATTGCGCAGGAGAGCACGGCTGCAGCAGCTGCCGACCCGGGGCTCGGTGTCTCGGCAGGTGCTGTGCAGTATCCAGTGCCAGTTTCAGCACGCCCAGCGCCTTCGCTGCAGCCCCTTCAGGAATCGCCCGCGCATGTACCGCTGCCCGAGTCATCAGAGAGCAGCACAAGTCTCCAGCCAGAACACTCGACGCAGCCTGCTCCAACGTCGTTGCCCCCTCCAAGCTTCGTGTCTTCCACCACACCCGCAGCCGGCATGAACCGTGGCGTCTCCACATCAAGTGCTATGCCACGGACTCAAGCCACTTCGACAAAGGTCGCGAACCCGGAGTCTGAGAAGAAACCACAGAAGTCCGTGCATTCTGGGAAGTCATCGCGATCCCGGAAGTCCGCCGCGAAATCTGCGTCGTCCAAGTCTTCGATGTCAAGAATCTCCTCTCGTGTGTCGTCCTCGAGGTCGTCGCGTTCTGGCGCGTCCGAGGTCGCCCTGGTCATGATGAGGCAGCAGGAGGCCGCCCTCAACCAAGTACGCGCCGACATGGCTGCCGAGTTGCGTGGCATTCGCCTAGACAACCAGCAGCAGACCGCTTCCCTCATGGAGCGTCTTCAACGGAGCGAAAAAGCCCTTGCCGCCGAACGTGAGTCCCGCCGGCGCGACGCCGAAGTTGCTGAAGCTCGGGTTGCTGCCGCGGTGAAGGTAGAGCAGTCCCCAGTACCATCGTCAGTGCCTGTACCCGAGATGGGGCGCGGCACACTTATTCCCCCCGAAGCGCCATTGCCGAGTGCGGCCCTGGACGCCGCCACCGCTGCTGTGTTGGCGGCAGCCGAGGAAGTGAAGGCAGAGAGTGAGGGCATCGCGCAGAGCACGAATGCCCATTTGGCCGCGTTCGAGGACCAGTTGCGCAATGTCACGTCCGCGTATCTGCAGAAGTGCGCCCTGGCCCAGAAGGTTCAACGTGAGAATGATGCTCGCCTACGTCAACAATCGACTAGTGTACCTGAATCTAGTGGAAAAGCCACCGCGACGAGTCGAACTTCCTGCGACAAATTTGCGGGACGGTCGCCCACTTATATCGGGCAACAGCAAGTGGCCGCGGATTCGCTGGCAGCAGCGCAGCTTCAAGCGACCATACAAGCTCCAAGTCAAGTTGTCAAACGCGAGATGGGACCAGGCGAGACGAAGCCGACTGAGACACGTGAGACAAGGTCAAGTGAGATGAAGACACGTGCGACAGGCGGGACGGGGTCAAGTGAGACCAAGCGTGGAAGGCAGCCGAAGGCTGCGACACAGACTCGGTCCAGTGTCGCTGCAGTCAAGGAAGAAAACTCGGAAGAGACCAAGAGCTCAGCGAAAGGTGTCGCTCGGGACTCTGCGAGTGGGAGTGGCCATGTCCCCAGATATTCTGGGAAGTCGGCTAATAAAAAGTCTTCCCAGAAACACAAGCGTGGAAAGAGGATCCGTGGCAGTAAGCGACCAGGTGGCGATCCCTCATCGTCAGATTCAAGTTCAAGCGGCAGCTTGTCTAGCAGCGAGTCCAGCTCGGGCTCCGACTCCGACTGGGAGCGCGGCCTTGCTGACGAACTCGCCCCTGCAACAGTACCAGCCGCTAACGGCCAATCGTACACGTTCCGCCCCTATATCCAGTATGGGGCGGTGGAGATGTTTGATCCCCACGCCAAGCTCGAAGACCGCGTGAACTGATGGGAGCCGTTTGTCTACGCTGCTGCGTTGGGAGTATGGCCGGAGAAGATGAAGTTGCGTCAGCTCCTGGGCCGACTACCTGCCCCGCTACGTGCATGGTTTCGCCAACTACCCGAGAAGGACCAGAAGGACTGGTCGCGCTTGTCGAAGCTGTTTCGCAAGGAGTACTGCCGCACCGAGGCGTCCCCGTACGACCGCTATTATGAGTTGGGACCGGAGAATGGCGAGTCTGCGCGATCGTTTCTGTATCGACTCAACGCTGCAGCCAAGAAGGCCGACGTCGAGTACGAAGACTCTCCGAGTGACCGGGAACTCCACATCCGTCGCTTTATCAAGAAGCTGGCGGATCGTCATCTGAAGATCACACTACAGGGACAAACGTTTAAGTCGATGAAGGAACTCGAGAAAACTCTCAAGCGTATCGAAGCGGTGCAGCGTGATGATGGATATGAAACGCCTCCACCTCCAAAGACCCGCGATGCGAAGCCTAGTGGTGTGAGGTTTAGTCGATTCCCTCCTCCGCGTCGAACTCAAGGTGAACGTGCGTACTTGGTGAAGAACCTGGACTCGGAGTCAGAAGACAAGGCTCCCCCGCCCTCGGACTCCGAAGAGAAACCAGAACCACGTTATCTCCCGGGAACTCCGCCCCCGTCCATGGGGTGTACGGTGAATTCTGAGAAGGTCAACGTAGCCCAGGCTTCTGAGACTATCGTCCAAGTACCCAGACCCCCGACGACCGAGGAGGTGTTCCGTGCTGCTGAGCAGATGGGTTGGCGCCCTCCAATTCCACAAGCGCGACCACCATCTCCATACCGAGACAACTCCCAAAGAACTCCCTTCTGTGAAATTTGCCGCAGTTTTGGACACGGCGCTCAGAATTGTTGGCGGGATCTGATCTGTGACCGATGCCATGAAGCTGGACACCCGACATATTAGTGCTCGCGTCGCCCATGTTCCAAGTGCGGAGACTTTCACCGTGAAGCCTCTGTGCCGATTGGGCTGCTTTGAAGGCAGTCCGGGAATTGGCGCGATAAGGAGCGCTGCAAGACTTGCCGACCGAAGTTCTGAAGCAACTGCTGAAAGAACAGCTGGCTAAGTCTGGGACGTCGTTAAACAACTAGGCTCGCTGGGTAGAGACCCAGTGCGTGTCGAGCCTAAGTCCCAAGCGTATTGCGCTCTTGCATTTGTCGGTCCAGAACTTAGGCACCAGATCGGTAACCCACAATGCATGACTGCCATTGCATGTGAAGATGAATCGCTGTTGGAATCGCGCCCGGTTTCTCGAAATTACGTTTTCCGAAGTTCTGCATTTGAAGATGAAGCCCCAGTGGAATTCACGTTGAACCCAGGAGAACGTTACGGGTGGTGGGCAGACCACGACTTGGATAATCAAGATGCAGTGGCATTAGTGCATGGGGCGATCAACAACTATCGGACACACATCATTCTAGATTCCGGCGCCAGCACAACTATATTGAGCCTAGACCTTGCACGCAGGTTGAAGCTTAAGTTGACGTCGCACGCCGGACTCAAGGTGAAAGGTATGGGAGGAGTGATCACGTACATCCGGTCGCGGACTCGAGTGAAGTTAACTCTGGGAATGCGTGTGGTATATGTGCTGGACATGTGGGTTGGAAACATTGGAGATGGAGTCACTTGTCTGCTGGGTATGGATTTCATGAAAGCTGCTGGAGTACGACTGTGTGCGCGTGAGCAGTTGGCTAAGCTTCCGAATGAAGAAGACATTCCTCTGGTTGGAGAGAAGGAAGCTCCACGTTACATCTTGGAAGTTCCGATTTGTGTGCGTGAGCCGGTGTATTTGGCTCCTGGTGATTCGATCACTGTTCCGGTACGGTATGGCCAAGCTGACGCTGACACAGCTGAAGTATGGACTGCCCGAGGGAATCAATGGGTGACGCAAGTGATCTACAGCTCCAGACGGCGGCCTGCCGCAGTTCGTGTGGTCAATATCTCAGAGAAGTGGACCCAGATCATGCAACACACGGTGGTAGCAGCGTTGGTGGGGCCTGGGCAACTGCCACGAGGAGACCGCTTTGTTCAACCGAAGTCGTGTAAGTATCGAGAGTGGCAACAAGAGATTTACCAGAACACCCCTTCGCGGGAGTATCGGCGACGGGAGGAGCTGGAAGCACTTGAAGCCTAACGGAATGCCCCACCCGCAGTCCTGCGGCCTCAATATGTTTGGCCGACGAAGATTTTGCCACGTCCACCTGAAGAAGTCCGGAAGGCTGCTGAGCTACAGAAGTCTCGGAACTCGAGTGGCCAAGCCGTGAACTCTTCGGGTCAGACTGAAGATGCCCGCAGTTACTCGAGCGCTGTTGCTGATGTGAAGATTCTGGATCTGGGCATTCCAACTGCCGCGGAAGTCACTCCCATGGACGAAGCCGAGGCCTCGCAGGCAGATGAGTTAGATCCTGCGAAGGAGCCCGCCATTGATCGGGATTCTGGTGATGTCGACCGCACTGATTGGTGGAGGTACCAGTAGTGCCGAAGCTCGACATGAATTGAAGAACGTGTTTCGCGCAGAGCCAGTCAAGATCTGTGAGGATGCCCTGGAGCAGCTGGAGGTGGCGTACGCGATTTGTCTTCGGGTGGTCACAGCTGACTTGGATCCTGATGAAGAAGTCTTCTTCCATGAAGGAACCGAGCTGTTGACGCAGTTACGAGACCAGTTGGCTGTACTCCCAGACTTGAAGGATCTCAGCCCGAAGGTGAACATGGATGAAGCTGATGTGGTGTCGAAGGCAAGAACACTCCTGAGATGAACAAGGAGATGAGAGGTATCTTGGAATATCATCACTCGATCTTCCTAGGAGATGGCAATGCTGTCCCTGCACCTGCCAGAGGAGTTGTCTGCTACCTGGATGTTGGGAACGCAAAACCGATTGCCCAGCGCGCTCGCCCGATTGCTCCACGCTTCCTCCACTAAGTCTACGAGCTGATCAAGAAATTGTTGGAGACCGGACTCATCGAGACTTCACATTTGGAGTGGGCCTCACCCATCGTGATCATTTTAAAGAAGAACGGCAAGGATATCAGACTTTGTATCGACTACCGGATGGTGAACCAGCTCATCAAGCTGTCTTGCTACCCGCTACCGTTGATAGATGACTTGCTGACTGGACTTGAAGCTGCGATGTGGTTTATGAGCTTGGATATGGCGAGTGGCTTCTGGGCGGTGCCCATGACCCAGAGGGCAAAGCTCATTTCTGCTTTTGTCTGTCCTCTTGGACAATACCAGTGGTTGCGCATGCCCTTCGGGTTGAAAAATGCGCCCCTGATATACCAGCAGATGCTGAACAACTGTCTTTGGGGTTTTGTGCGACTGTCGCCTGAGGAAGAAGCCAAGGTCGATCCCGATGTGCTTGAGTTTCTGGGAATTAAGGTAGACGAGCGAGCGGTCCCCGATTCTGGAGTGGAGATCCCAGCTCTGACAGATACAATGACTGTTTTCCACCGGAACATTCCAGCCCCAGTTTCAATGGGCCCAGTCCTGGGTAGAAGCTCATACATTGACGACATCGCCCATGGGGTGCCTACCTGGGACCAGCTCTGCTCGGACCTGAACGCGTTGCTGTTCCGACTGCGCTACTGGGGAATCTCCGTGAACCTACCCAAGAGCGAGTTCGGGAAGCTGTCTATTCCGTACCTGTCGCATGAAATCAGCACCGAGGGCTTGCGAGCAAAACCCAAGATCGCGAAGGGTGTGAATGATTTGCCATTTCCGTCGACACTCAAAGGCGTGCAGTCATTTCTGGGAAGCATCAACTACTACAACAAGTTTATCGAGGATCTTCCTGTTATAGCATCGGTGCTTTACGAGCTGACCGAGGAGCAAGTCCGGGAAGGACGAGACTTGGGGCGCGCCAAAGAGGCTTTCGAGATTCTGAAGAAGAAGATCGTCTCGACGCCGCTGTTACGACACCCGGACCGAGAGAAGGACTTTGTTGTGATCCTGCATGCGAATCCTTGGGCTGCAAGTGCTGTCTTGGGCCAAGAATATGACGGTGTGATTTTTCCTGTTCGGTACACTGGCAAAACCCTCAATGAGTCTGAGATTAAGTGAGAAAGAGGTGGTGGCGTTGTTGCGCGTTCTGCGAGTGTTTCATTGTATGCTTGCTGGGAGTCACATCAAGGTCTACACTCATTCCTCAGTCCTGCGGTGGATTTTCACTTCGTCATCATTGGAGGGACGTTGTCAACGGTGGGCCACCCTGCTCTCGCCTTGGGATCTAGAAATTCACCGGATTGAGAGGGACGAGGATGGCCTGGCAGCCATCATGGGCGCTGGGATTACGCCTCGTGAACATCTCGATAAAGTGGCAGAATCCCTGATTCCAAGGAAAGGACGAGTGACACCTGCCCCACCGATTAGTCTGGAGATGTTGGAAGAGGATTTCTCAGGTTACCTGCTCAGCTTTGATGGCGCTGCGAAGACGTCTACCAGGCAAGGTAGCTGTGGTTGTATCTTGTGGAAGCTCCCAGAGTGGACTGTGGTCAGCGCGCGAGGTTACTTCCTGGAAGATGTGACGGTCAATGATGCAGAGTATCATGGCTTGATCAAAGGAGCGACACTGGCTATGGAGCATGGTGTTTACGACTTGGTTGTCGTCGGTGACTCCCGAATCGCTATTCAACAGGCCCAAGGGTTGATCAACTGTCATCAACCGAACCTGTTAAGTGAGTTCGATTCGGTTCGTCAGAAGTTCCAGTCTGTGAAGTTGATTCATGTGAAGCGGGAATTCAACCAGGCTGCGGACTATCTCACGAGTCGGACTCTAGCCGCTGGAGAATCACTGGTTATCGATGATCGCCTTGAGCTGTCGCATTTGCGTTTGGTGAATCGCATCCCTGAGAAGCTGGTGAAACAGTCTGAATCTGGAGTTGTCGATCCATTGGTCGAAGGCACTGCTGAGCGTCGAGTACTGAGAGCAGTCGTAGATGCGTTCCCAGATTATGACAACGCACCACTTTCTCTTGGCGCGCGCGTGCTAGCCGCTCTGACCCGGAGCCAAGCCCAAGCGGAAGTTCGTGATGCAGAGTAGACGGAGTCTGATACCCCAGGCATGACACCTTTGGAGTTCCAAGCAGAGCGCTGGTGCCGCATTAAGGCTCACCAAGATGGCGACCCATGGATGCGACAGTTGAAAGCTTTCCTGCGAGGTGATCTCTCTGAACCTCTGAACTGGAAGCACAGAGGATGGCGAAGATTGCTGACAATTATGTCTTGGATTCCCGAGACGTTCGTTACTATCTGAGCCGATCGACTGCTTCTAGGCCAAGAGATGCACGAGATGAACCTCGATTAGTGGTTCCTCACGATCTGCGCCAGGACTTGCTGCATCACTGTCACGAAGAGCTTCAAGGCGGTCACCAAGGATTTACGCGGACGCACGAACGCCTGCGTCGAGAGTTCTTTTGGCCAGGCCTCTACGCTGATGTTGAACGTTTTGTCAAGGAGTGTGTGGACTGCGCCTCTGGAAAGGGGAAGCCACCTAATCCCGGACCGTCGCCTGGGAATATTGAGCCCAACGCTCCGTTCGAAGTGCTGTCGATGGACTTTGTCACGCACCTCCCGAAATCTGAACGAGGGAATACGTTTCTCTTGCTTTTTGAAGATATGTTCTCGGGTTTCGTGATGTGTAAGCCCATGAGTTCGACGACAGCACAAGACGTAGCTGAAGCTTATGAAGAGGCTGTCTTCCGGCGCTTCGGTGCAAGCTCCATGCTCAGGCACGACCAGGACCCCAGATTTATGAGCGAAGTTTTCAGTAGATTCAGGGAAATGCTGGGCACCAAACAGCGAGCGACGCTGGCGTATCGCCCTCAAGCCAATGGGCAACAAGAAAGATCGGTGCAGACTATGGTGAGGGGCATCCGGGCCTATGTAGCGGAGGCAGATCAGAGCGACTGGGATGATCATCCGGAGAAGTTGGTGTTCGCCTTAAACACCTCCTCTGATTCGACCCGGCTCGAAACGCCCTTTTATCTGGTCCATGGCTGGGATGCGAAGAGCACTGTGTCGGCTATGTTAGGTCCACCACCCACGGGGTTGGAACAGAAGTCGGCTTACGAGTGGAGACGCAAGCTGCAACGCGATTATAGTTTCGCCCATGCTTGGGCTCGAGACTTGCAGAAGCAAGCTAAACGGCTGCGCTCAGAAGCCCAGACTCAGAAATGGCAGGAACTCTCGGAAAGACTCAAAGCCGGCTTCCAAGTTGGAGACTCTGTCTGGCTGTATCTGGCTCGCGTGCAACCTGGGTTGACCAAGAAGTTTGCCCACATGTGGCATGGTCCCTTTCGAATTGAAGAAGTCCGGGATGATTTTCGCGTACGGCTAAAGATCGAAGGCACCGGCTATCGAATTGGTCCCTGGGTACATATCAGCAGATTGAAGCCAAGAGCGCTCTTCCCAGAACGCCCAACAGTGGAGATCGAAGTTGCAGAAGAAGATGACTTCGATGCAGCATTATTACCGGAAGACAGCTGGGGCCCTGAAGAGCAATCTGGTGTGTACGAGGTAGAAGCTATCAAGGACATTCGCTGGACGAAGAGGACCAGGACATCTCGAAGAGTCCGCGAGTACCTCGTGAAATGGAAGGGGTACTCGGACCTGGAATGGCTCCCGACAACGCAGCTAAGTTGTGGTAACCTGCTTTACGAATTTAACCAAGGCGCTAGAGCGCGAGCTCGATTTCGGGCAATGCAAGCAGGTGATGACTCAGACGCTGTGACAGATTCCCAATAATTCTGGGATTCTGCGCTCGATGTGTTTATTGCGTATGTATAAGTCTATCGCTATGATGACCCGACCCACCAATCAAAAACAAACTGGTCGCAGAACGACAATTGATGTTCGGAGAAGTGATGTGGCAAAGCAGATGGGGTAATTGATCGAGGGAATGGAGGTATTGTGGAGAATTACGTGGAACTTGTTGCACCTCGCTGCGGGGACCCATGGGGCTTACTAAGTTGTACTCTGAGGTGCTATGACATGCAAACTACGACAAGAAGGGTCTGCTCGCGCTCGCACTCAGGCTGGCGGCAGAGGTAACGGGTTCTGGCGGCGCTGCGTGGGATTCAGCATGTCTGCGCGAAGTTCGACTGGGGTGAGACGCAGGAAGGCGTCGTCGTTGCGTCGCGTCGCCCACTGGGTTCTGATGGGTTCGTCTTCGTCCAAAGCAGCAAGCTGCATGAACACGTCCGGCTCGTGCTCCAAGTCGCGCCAGATCCAAGGGCAGCAGTAGATCGGCGCCACCCAGATGCCAGGTTCCACCAAATAGTCGGCATGAACCCTTCCGTGGCTTCCAAGAGTGCCACTTGTTCGTCCAGGTCTTTGCGAAACTGGGAGCGACGCACTTTGCGGTCGGTATGAAGGCCTCGGGATTGGGGTTCGGATTCGTCAATTGTGACCCAATGTCCGCCTTCCCAGTATAGCCGAGCGGCTTTGCGCATCCACCCGATGAAGCGAGCAATCCCGTGAAGGAAATCCAGTTGGAGCTGTTGGCGCAGGTGAAAGTAGAAGACCTTGACGCGCTTGTCATACATGGCAGCCCAGGGTTCAACTTGGAGTAGCTTCTCGTATTTGGCTCGGTCCCAACGTGTTTTGATCTCGTCCATATGAGTCTTGACTGGCACGAAGCTGGGAAATCCCAGATTCTGAGGGACCTGGTTGGTCAGCGGCTGCTTCTGGACCAGAATCCCGAAGTAACGCCAGCTTTTGTCGGTGGGGTCCGGAATCTCGATGATGTTCTTCTCTTGGGGCGTCATGTCTTTTAGCGCCTTCTTGTACAGCCGGTACTTCGAGGCTGGGACTTTGACAACCACCAAGTCTTGCGTTGACACTGAGCTGGGCCGCGCCTTAGCCGGAGGCTTGGACCTTTTGGAGGACCCACCACTTTGGCCTGAAGCCTTGCGTTTCCGGGCCGAGTAGTCTTCATCCCCCGTGTCACCATGCGAGGAGAGAGATGAGAAGTCCGACTGGAAGGTGTTGCTGCCATCATCCCTGTCTGAGTTGCCTGGAAGTGGAGACAGGGACTCGGAAGGAGACAAGCTGTCGGACGGCAAGTCAGGCCAGAATGGATGCGCACTCGTACGCCGGGAGAGGTTCTGCACAGCTTGGTCCAAGAAGCACTCTGGGACATTGCGAACCCACGGCGTGGAATCCATCCGGTTCCAGTACGCCATTGATTCCAGCATCGGCATTAGCTCCTTTTGCCGGAACTGCGTATGCAACGCAGTGTCCATCCGAGCAAACGCCAGCGAGTCCAAGTACGACGTCCCAAAGAGCATGAGCTCCTTGGCGTCGGCGCGCACTTCACTCCATGTCACTGTCGACGGCAGAGAGGCGGTAGCTCGTTCTACACTTACGACATACTTGGCGTTGCGTGAACGTGCACCCTTGGAACTTCCCGGGTAGTCGCTAGGCCGAGCTTGAGGCTGAGACAGAGGCTGCATCGTTGCAGGCTCGGGTGTGGTCAAGTCCACCACCGAGTGTGAGCTCTCGCTAGACTCCTCTGCGGACCCAGACCGGGCTTTGGCAGCTGGCTTCGGATTACGTGCAGGCTTGGACGGCGACTTGGATTTGGCACTGGGCGTGGGCGTCTTCTTCTCAGGAATGGGAGGTTGCCCAACTGTGACTACGCTGTGGCAGCCTCTAGACAAGTCCAATTGACGGGCTGAGTCTCGACGAGGAGAGGCGACGCGTCGAAGCCCCTCAGAAGTGACTTGGAACAGCACCGAGGTTGGTGCTGGAGCCTTGGTCTCGGATTCAGCCTCCTCCAGCGCCTCAGAATCTCCATGGCTTTGCTTTTCCACTGCATTATCGGACTGCGCGGCCCGTTCCGTGGCTGATGGATACGGAGGCGCGTTGAAGTCGAACGCCCGCAAGTCCTCTACGTCCACACGCGTCACCCAATCTGGAGACGGGGCTGTGCCCGTCTGGTAATGCTCAAGCAAAGCAAGCAAGTGTAGCCAATTGCCCCGCAGACGGCCGTGTTCACGCAAGAAGTCCATTAAGGACCAAGGGTCTGAAAGCCGGGAATTCCGTAGTCGAGTCTCAAGCAAGCCACTTGCTGCCTCGGCCTGGTGTGCTCTTTCTTCGCTAGCGTGAAGGCGCGTCGTCAGCTCCTCGATGCGCCGATCTCGTTCTTGGACTTCAAACGCATGACGACGCTTGCTCTCGTCAACGAAGCGTTCGTGAGCTGCAATGCCGCGCCGACGTTCAACTTCGACGCACTCGGACCAAAATGCCCGCTGGTTCTGGAGCTCGTGGCTCAGGCGACGACACTTCGTCAACCATGCTGCCGTGTCCGCGACTTGCGGATCTTGGACGAGTTGCACCAGGGCCCGAATGTGCGCAAGAAGCAAGTGAAGGTAACGCGGCGAGGCCAGTGTGCGACGCGCGAAATGTTCCACACCGAAGTAACGAAGTGCGGGAAGCGCCTCGCGCAGAACCTGCGCGCCTGAAGCTGCCAGAGATGCTGCTTGGGGTAGCGGCATGGTCAGAACAGGTTGCAATGTGTTGTTGCGCACGTCCTCGTGTATGATTCGCGCCAGATCGGCGAAGTCTCGATCCGACAAACACCCGCCTTCGACGAGGCGCTCAATCCCGCCGTCGCCATCTCGGACGGGTGCGTCAGCAGCGATGTCGGCCAGTGTAGCTGGCACCCCCACCAACGCGGGCCGCGACACAGGAACTCCGTGCTCACTGAAGACGTAGCGCGGTGTGACGAGACGCACGCGCGGGGGCACTGAGGACGAGCGTGCAAACGATGTTGCCGCGGGCTGGAGTCTGCGCGCAGAAGCTGCTGTTGACTGTGAGACTCGGCATCCCCCGTCACCACTACGACCACGGATGCTAGAGCTCGAAGCTGGTGTCGGGTCTGCCGGCTGCTGCGACCCTTGCTGGCTGCTCAGGATGCTGGCGCTGGCCGTCGATGCTCTCGCGAGGGCAGCGCTCAACACTACGCCCACGTGTGAGGCCCCCGTATCCGCGAGGAGTTGACCTTCGCTTACAGCAGCTCGCGCCGGTACCGCTACGCCCTCGTGTGAGGCCCTCCCGTCCGTGAGGAGTTGGCCATCGCCGGACGCCTCGGACATCGGCTCGGCGGCAGGTGGGACACGTTGCTCAGGCTGCCCGTGTTCGTCGCTTTGAGAGGCGCCTTGGTCTTGTTGGCCGTCGTCGCCGCTGCTTCCTGTGGCTTGCCCCGGGTCAGCTGGTGGTGCACGTGCGGCCTTGGACGGTTCAGCGGCAGCGGGCGGTGATGCCATGCGGGTTCCGCGCTGCTCTTGAAGATGGTGGATGCTTGGTCTTTCGAGAATGATCTCGAACGACGCTCTTCCCGGATCTCGTGTGACACGCGTGGCGACAAGGTCGCCCAGATTTGGGTCTGCGTTTTGGGCAAGTCGACCCATCTCGGTATTGAAGTTGCCTCTGTGGGTCAAATTGGCCAATGGGTCATGGGACCAAAACCCGGGAATTGCCCATATTGTGGAGTTCGCGGATTGGTGGAAATGTGTTGGTCAAGAATGATGACCACGGTACCAGATAAGTGGTACATTCTTGGAACCCGACAATCGTGCCTGGGATTCTGAGAGTTCGTGCTGGACTTGGAGCCGAATAAAAACAAGAGTATGTTTGTGGCGAAAGTGAGACCCCGGAAAGCAGGTCGGCGTAGGCGAATGGATCCCGTTCCTAGAAGTGCACAGGAATGTGTGCGACCTTCCCTACGAATCTGCGCGAGGCGGGACTCGACTCTGGGTTACGACCTGGGAACTGAGGCACTTCTCAGATTCCCCGTTGTTTTCCCAGAATAACGACTCCCAACGTTCGTGTCCTCAGACTTACTTCCCACAAAAGTCCAAGAACAGCCTCTGTGCGAGGCGTTTCAAGGCTCCAAACCCAAGAACACTTGGTTTCACTATGGCATCTTCCAAGATCCGAGGTGTACCCAACAACTCCGAGAAGGTATCCAGTCTGGCGACCCTTCAAGGTCAGACCAACACTCCGCCGAAAAATCGCAGTCTCCGAGGAGTCGCTTAGGAAAGATTTCGTCTGCCTGTGACCTTTAACCAAACAGAGTTCGTTTTGCTTCGAAGGGCACAAGTGTAACGGGGTTACACGCACAAGTGGCTACAGTCACTTGTAACTCTAACAGACACGACGTCTGTTAGAGGTTCGAAAGACTTTCTCGTCCTTGGTGTAGACACACCAAAGGCTACATACATTTAGGATCACCACGACGGGTGGTCCATAGAGACTTAGGATTCCTATTGGTTGAGAGCAGCATCTTTTAGCCAATGAGTGACATGCATAGCATTGGAATGCTGCCCTCCAGCCGTTGGCAGATTCCTATTTTAGAATATTACATTTAGAGGAAGTCAGAAACATAAAACAAAAATAGCAGTTCTCATCTTTTACCAAAACACGCTACTTGGAGTCTTTATTTTGTTTGAAGTATACTCATGGATCTCGAGTATACTTAACTCAAGTAAAAGAAACCCACGCTTCCTCATACACTTGCGCATACGTGTAAGCCGTAGTAGTGAGCCAAGGTAGGCCCACTACACCTGGTAGCACTTTGTAGTCCGTCCAACGATCGACTACCTGAACGTTCGTACGGAGCTGTACGAACGAGGAGCCGAGAACCTTTTCATGAGCGCGGAGGTGCCCATGGAAAGCTCCACCTCGCCTGCAACTCATGTTGCACGCGCTGACTGCCTCCACCTGTCGGATCCAGAGTGGGAGGCACTCCAACGACTGTCAACAGTCATTGGAGAAGCGGCAGTAGCTGCGATGCTGCGTACGCTATCGCCGACAGAGCAACATGGTGTTGCTCTGGGATTCATCATGAAGGAGCAGCGTGATGCTGCTTCCTCCATCACGGTGGCGTCGGGGACGACACCGCGCGAGCAAACGTTGAAGCTAAACGTGAGCAACTATGTCGGAAGAGAGGGCGAGCCTCTCCTCCGTTGGCTTGTCGAACTCGACACTGCCATCGCGGCTCGACGTATCGTCGACCCGTTGTCCAAGGTTGCGTTCGCCATGTCATGTCTTGGCGGACGAGCGAGAAGTTGGGCGTATGGACGCCGACTCTCTGATCCTACGTGCTTCAGTACGTTTGAGGGTTTCAAGGAGGAACTCAGACAAGCGTTTGAGCCCCCGCAAAATGAGTTTCGTCGAGGGCAGAGTTCCTCGACCTACAGCAGGGTAAGCATGATGTCCATGCTTACGCGCAGAGAGCACGGTACTTGGTCTCGAACATTGTGACCAACCCGATAGACGAGGCGACCAAGGTCGTCACGTTCATAAAGGGTCTGAGAGATGGGCCTGTAAAGACCTATCTCTTCCGTGAGTACCCGAGTACTCTCGAAGCTGCAATTACTCTTGCGATGCAGGAGGAGTTTAGTCTGAGGCAGGCTAAACTACAGGCGAATGCGCCGAGGCTGCAACCGCCTCCGGTCGCGATAGCGGGAGGTCCGGAACCAATGGACCTCTCGAATGCAACGGCTGTTGGTTATCAACAGCAACAAGAAAGTAATGTACGATGCTTCCGTTGCGGAAGGATCGGTCACTATGCCCGAGAGTGCACGGCACCCGTGCACCGAGATGGTGGTCGACGCGGCGATGCCGGGCAACGTCGCGGACAAACAAAAAACGCTGGAACCCAGTAGGCGCGGGGCGCCCTACTGGTAATGCAGTTCCGCGTGTCGACCTTGGACACGCGACACTGAGGACTGCAGCCCCCAGTGAGGTTCATCCTCACTGCAAGAACCAAGATGACAAGCCTGACCTTGTCATCCTGAATGTGAACTCGATGAGAGCAAGCGGCTCTCTCCGTGCTTTGGTAGATTCTGGCGCGTCGAACAACTTTGTTCGACTGCGAAGTCTATCAAGGCTTGACTTCGAGGAGGTAAAGATACCTCGAAGTATGTTGGAGGTACGACTGGCAACGGGTGCCGTCGTGAAGACCGAGAAGCGCATGGTACGCGTGCGCTTCACGTATGAAGATCAAGAGTTTGTCGAGACCTTTATCGTCCTGGATCTGGACGATAAGTTTGACATTGTATTGGGCATGCCGTGGCTTGCACGGCATGATCCGGTCATCGATTGGGAGAAGCGCACTCTCGTGCGCTTCGGTCGCGATAGCGGAACAGAGAGCGATGGACCTGTTGCCGCAACGCACGCACCGACAGGTGCGCGCGACTCTCCAGTCAGGACAGCGCCTAATGCCGCTGTCCAGGAGCGCCCTGGGCGCGCGCGAGCACACGCGCAAGAGCAGCAAGCGTCGGCGTCGCCGCCGACGGCTGAAGGAGAAAATATGTTGATCTCGGAGATCGACACCCGCTTTTCAGCGAATCAGGAAGAGTCTCCGGCCTCAAGGGGCACGGATGACGCAGGCAAGTCACACGCCTCAGCCGTGGAGGCTGACGCGAATCTGATTGGATCAGGTCTGGCCAATATTAAGAGCCAAAGTGACGAAACGCCGTCGACTCCGGGAGTCGATGGATTGGGTGAATTTGATTCGTCGGCTCGGGGAGCCGACGCACCCTCCGTAATGGGGGTCTCTGCCAATGGTTGGCGTCGAGGTGAAGATGGCGTGTCGGCTCCGGGAGCCGACGCTGCAGGCGGTGCGGACGGTTGCAAACGTTCCGCACCGGAAAAACTTGCATGCTATCGTGCAGCCGGGCTGCACGACGAAGCGCCGGGCGACCAAGCCGGGCTTGGAGTCGCTCGCCCGCGGGATGAACCCGCCGGCGGTACTAAAGAAGAACACCCGTCCACGGCTGGGCCTGGACGAGGTCGAGAACCAAGCGGAGCCGGGCTCCGCAAAACAAGAAGACGGCGCATGCGAAGATCGCTGCGCATGTCTCGGCCTGGGGCCGAGACGCTACAAGGAATGTCTGCCGGGCAGACGGAGGCTGAGAAGCCGGACGTCGAGACGTTGAACGTCTTGACGCGTACCTGTGCCGGGTTCCGGTACAGGGAGATGACTCTCGCTAACCCTCCGACACAAGCATCGGAGTTGACTTCGCTTCCAGTCATGAGCTGGAAGCGCTTCGCGCGTGACTTGCACGATGGACGCATCGAGCAAATATGCATTCTCTCGGACGCCGAGAGAACGAAGAGCGAGAATGAAGAACTGAGGCAGTTCTTCATGGAGACCACCACTGAGAGCGAGGACACTCTCAGTGCGAAGACGAAGAAGGAGCGCTTTGAAGAGCAGAGCTGGGACTCGTTGAAAACGAGTCCCTACTACGAGATCTTACGGGAGTACGCGGACGTACTTCCGGAAGAGATTCCTGCGGAGCTTCCGCAGGACAAGGGAATCCAGCACGAGATTGATCTCGTGCCGGGCACGAAGTACTGTGTCACGAGGCAGTGGCCACTGCCGCGAGAGCAGGTCAAAGCGATCGACGGCTTTTTCGAAAGTCGTCGCAAAGCTGGACAAGTGCGGGAATCAAAATCCCCGCACAGTGCTCCGACGTTCTGTGTCAAGAAGCCACAGGGCGGCTGGCGCATCGTTCATGCGTATAACAAGCTGAACGATGCGACGATACCGGCGCAGACGCCGATACCTCGAAAAGATGTTATCATCGATTCGATGGCCAGGAGCACTATCTACAGTGCTCTTGATCTGCGCGATGGGTTCTATCAGACCCTCATGCGTGAGAGCGATATCCCTCTCACGGCAGTGAGCACGCCGAGCGGCATGCTCTGGGAGTGGCTAGTGATGCCGCAGGGTCTGAAGAACGCCCCTGCGACCTTCAACAGGTGCGTGACGCACTTGTTGCGCTCGGTGCGCGACTTCGCACCGAGCTACTTCGACGATGTGTTCGTCCACAGCCGGGCTGCGGACGGAATGAGCGATGTTGAGATGCACAAGGTGCATCTCCGGAAGCTGCTTGCGCTCATGTGCATCTTCGGGGCGAGCGAGATACCCGTGGTCGGGTGTCTCGTTGGGAAGAACGGTGTCCGCCCTGACCCTGAGAAGGTCAGAGTGATCAATGAGTGGCCGACGCCGTCGAACGTCAAGGAACTGCGGCAGTTCCTTGGCTTGGCCACGTACTTGTGCAAGTACGTGAAGGACTACGCGGGCATGATACGCCCGCTGTCACAGCTCCTGAAGAAGGACGTCGAGTGGATTTGGACTGCTGAGTGTCAGCAGGCCTTCGATGCAGTCAAGCAGGGCTTGACTGAGGCGCCGATCTTGGCGGTGGCCGACCAAGATCGCCCATTCCACGTTGTGTGTGACGCATCCGACTTCGCAATCGGATGTGCGTTGATGCAGCACGATCACGAGGGTCGTGATCGTGTCGTCTACTACCAATCGCGTCAGCTGAAGCCAGCTGAGCGCAACTACCCGGTACATGACAAGGAGCTCCTTGCCATGAAGTACGCACTCGCGAAGTTC